TGAGCAAGCTGCCTTGATCCCATCCTGTTGCTCAAAATGCTCAAAATCTTGTCTTTCCCCCCTTATATTGTCCATGATGATGAGGTCTCACCCTGGAGTCCCAGCTCTATGACCTACTTCTTCAGTAGCCTCTGTCTCAACTGTCTGATGGGGAAATGATCATAAAATGCCTCCCCATCAGGGTACCTGGGACCGTAATGAGGAGAAAGATGATACCTACAAAAATCCCAAGCAGTTGTGAGCGCAGACCAGAAGCTCAGGAATTATTCCTTGGCCTCTCTACAGCTTGATGTGACCACCAGGAAAACTGATGTTGTACTTAAACGCAGTCTCCATAATGTACCGTGCAAATGTGAGTCACCAAGACGGTGGCCCCGGGATCCATTTTTGTCTAAGGATCCCCCCTTTCTCCTGGAACTCCAAGTTTGAAGCATGCACTTTTATTCATACCAACAGAACTGACTGCACAAAGCGAGACACTTAGCAACCCAGCAAATTCAGCCCGCGACGGGGCTGTCAGCACTTACCAGGAGAGTGGAGAAATGTCTGGGTCTGAAGAAGCAGCCAGCTCTCCCTGACAGTCTGGACTTAAATAAATTGTATTTTCTGGCTGGGGGTGATAAGGCGTAAACTTGAAGCGTGTGTTATACTTACCCGTCATTATGCCCCCGAAATCGGGAGGGAGAGTTCTATCTTGTCCCAAGTTTGGAGCAAAATCGCACTGTGTGTAAATAGCTCTCAGGCTTTTGATGTTGAACAGAGAGGAATATAATCCTCTCGGAAAAGCCAGGCAGGAGCGGGGCTCAGCAGCGCAGACAGGGAAGCTGGAGCGGCGCCTGGCTGCCCAGCCCCTTCTAATGCCCCCACAAGGTAAACTGTCTTAATACCTGAAAGGATTATGTCCTCTAATACTTTCAAGGAGGAGCAAGCAAAAAATGCTTAAATACAATTAAGTGTGAAGCTGAGAAAATCAAGGCAGAGAAAGGGAGGAAAGAGTTGCTGAACAAGATACCAGGTTGAGCTCCCCACCAACAGCAGAGGCAAGGCCCGCCAGCACCAAAGGGCTCCTCCCAGAGGTGGGCAAGAGAATGACAGGGGAGAGCAGCCTTTTGGAGCCCATTCATTTATTTGTGCAACAGAATAAAGATAGTTCCTGCCTTCTCAGTCTTGTGGAAGACGTGTCCACAAACAATCAAGTGATAACCATCTAGTTACACACTTTGATATGTATCATTAAGGGGAAATACAGGAGGTGTGAGTTTGTCAAACCAGAAGCCCCAATTTAAATGGCGCCTAGGAGCAGGGGCTCAGGGTGGTCAAGTGGGACTTCTGGGGAAGAGGTATTGTGATCAAGTTGGCTTAAAAGTGTGGGGAAAACAGTAAGGCAGAAGAAATGGCCCGTGGGACTGTCCTGCTGCACTTTCCAGGGCCAAAGACGCACCATATTGGAAGCAGGTGGAAGAGAAAAGGAGGAGAGGTTGAACCACACAGGGCCCAGTGCGTACTTGGGACTTTATCCTAAATGCACTAGGAAGCCAGCGAAGGCTTTAGGCCTCTTTCTGGTGGTCTGTACTTAACAAAGAACTTGGCCGTCTCTCAGACCGGGTTGCAGTCACTCCCAGCTCCCCGCTCCACCACTCTGATTTTCATTACACCAAGCTCTTTTTTACATAAGTGCCCCAGGATCTGGCCCCAAGAGGAGAAAGCAGGAAAAAGGATACTGACACCCAGGATGAGCACCAAGCCTGGCAAGGAGAAAGTTAAGGGTGGAGAGAGCGTCTCTATCACTCCCACCACCAAGACGTAGCTCTTCCTCCCCCGTAGGAAAAGTCTTCAATCCATGACACTTCAGTGCCCAACAAGGAGCAGACAGTCAGTGATGTACTGAAGGCAGCCAGCTCCTACATCCTCCCTCTCTTCTTGTAGAGGGGAAAACTGAGGGAGGCTAGTCAAAAAGAAGCAGTTGGTATCCCAGAAGGACACTTCCTTCCTGCATAACCTTGGGCTAGTCATGTCCTCTCTCCCAGGTCACTGTTTCCCTACCTGTGAGGTCAGGTGAGGGCACAAGATGATCTCTAATACTCCTTTCAATGATCACATTTTATTATCCTCGGATGCTCAGGAAGGGTCAATATCTTTTTCAATACCACACAGTACATCTGTGGCCAGGCAAGGATCACAACTGATGAGTAAATACCACATTCTAACCCCAGCCAAATGGTCTGAAGTTCAAGTACCAAAAATGGGAGTTAGGTGAGGGGTTAGACTTTGCAATTGTCTAGGACTAAGCTGAAATGAACTTCTTACAGATCTCTTCTTATGCATCGGAAATTAATATTACAAATAGTTATATTGAGTGTGTCGGCAGAGAGAAGCTCTATCAAAGCACCCTGGAAGTCACTCCAGATGTGGTCGACCCCTTGCAGTGGATGTATAAGTATAAAGTGCTCTTATCTGTTCATTACAGTGGTCCCCCAGAGCATGTCTCCAGGGGACAATTTCATTAGCCAAGTTCAGTTGCTATATGCAGTGGGGATGATAAAGCTCAGTTCTTTGCAAAATCACATCCCAGCTGTCCTCCCTCACCATGAAGCTGAGCAAGTAAGGGTTGCCTGTCCTGAAATAGTGCAGCTGGCTAGGGACTCAGAGCCATTATATATCATGAAGAAAAATATGAAATCTAGTGTTTTGCTGGCCTTCCTATAGGTTCTGAATGTAGACTGTAAGGCTTGTGCTTCTTTGCTGTCCTTGCACAGAGGAGCACATGCATATGAATATTTATTGATGGGAAAAGTAAGGCAGAGAGGGAACAGCATATGGCTCAGAAATATCCCAATGAAAGAGATCCAGGACAGCACACCAAGAAAAAGTCCATGTGTTAGAAACAGACAGATGTGGACAGATATTTAATAGCTGTGTGGCCTTAGGCAAGTCACTTAACCTCTCTGGGCTTTGATTTCACCTCTGCACAGTAGGAGCAGCACCACCACCCATGGTCATGGTTGCAAAGTTAAATGAGACAACATAGCCAAATGTCTAACACAGTGCTTGGCACATAGTAGAAACCTCTCTCCTTCCATCTAGCTACTAGGATCTGCATGAGAAATGCAGCCTCCAGTGCTCAGACCCACTATTTACCTGCCCTTACACTGAAGGACAAGAATCTAAATGGCAGGAGGGGACAGAGCAATGGAGCATGGTCAGGGAGGCAGCCTGGTCCAAATCTCAGTGACTGCAAGAATCCAATACAGTTGGCCTGGCTCTCTTCCAGCCAATTTGCCTGATGTAATTTGGCTTTAGCGCAAGGTTCCAAAGCAGTTATGTAATCATAATAGTCATAGTTTTTGTCGAAAGCTTTTATTGTTGAAACACTTTTGCATGTATTACCTCAGTTGATCCTCTCAATAACCTTCAGAAGTAGCTAAGACAAAGACTAGAAACCCCATTTTAGAGATGGAAAAATTGAGCCCTGGAGAGTTTATTTGAGTCCTCCAAAATCACGGGACTAATGATTGGCAACATCAACTTGAACAAGAATTTCTCTCAGCATTCCTTGTTCCGGGCTTTTTCTATACCATCACATTGCCTCTTTGTGATCATGCTTTCATCAAGAAAAAGTGTACTGAGCACCAGTACTGTGTGCCAGTCAATGTATATGTGCCGGAATTCAGAAGTGAAAGGCAGGGGTGAGCTCAAGAGAGATACAAGAATAACTAGTTCTTCAGTGCCATGTGATGGTGCCTAGCAGAGGAGCAAGGGGAACAGTGAGGAGGGTTATAACCCCACTGGTTCCCCACTTAGACCTCTGGAAGCCTCTGGAAGGCTTCCTGGAGAAGATGCGTCAATCCAGTCTGGGAGAACAGCTAGAATTTTCCTGGGCAGAGAACTAGTTTGTCCAGGCAGGAAGAGGAACAAGAGGAGTTTTAGACAGCTGACAGAAAACCACAAGTGTGTGAACCAGCAGCATATTTGGGGGTGCTGCAAGTTGTTCTGGCCCCACTCACTCATTCACTCACCATATACTTCTGGAGCACCCCTGTGCCAGCCAATGTGCTAGTCACTAAAGATAGAGACCTCAGTTAACAAGCCGGTGTACTTCCTGAACCCTTGGAACTTATGTTCTAGTCACTCAGAAAATCAAATGGGAAACAGGAGGGTGGAGTGGGCAGGGCATACCAGAGAAGGTTGGTTGTAAATGATCTGGATTTTAAGGGGGTTGGGAAGCCCTGAAGGATTTTAAGCACAGGATTGACAAGATCAGCTTTGCATTTCAGAACAGGTGTGCTGCAGTTAACTTAGAGAATGGGCGGGAGAATCAAGAAACCCAGCTAGGAAACAGCAGCAGCCCAAGCAAGAAATGACTTGGTCCTAAGTTACCACAGTACAGATGAAAAAAGGGTAAATCAGGTCAGATGTTGAGACTGTGCTGCAGGTCTTGCTAGTCAATTGGACTTGAAGACTGACAACCACTCTGAGGGTGGCAGAGTCCCTCAGCAGGTGGTGATGCTGTTCCCTGGGCCAGGAGTACAATTAGCAGGTGGGCTGAGAAGATGAGGGAGATGTTCCCACTGGGGTCTGCTGGGTGTTGGGGGTCTGCAGCATCCCTGAGGTCATACTTTTCATGCAGTGGAATTACTGTGTCTGGAGCCCAGGAGAAAGCTTGCAGGTGGAGGTACGGATTGGAGGGTCAGGTTCTCATAGATGATGTTTCACATCTAGAAGTAGACAGGACCGCTTACGGTGGGTGTAGAGAGGGAAGGGGACCCAGATCTTGTTGCAACACACCCCAAGGGGTGTCCAGATTTGTTCTTTGATGCCAGAATACACTTGGTGAATTCAGGCCTTCAGCCATTATGAGGTTTCATTGGTCTCCAAGATGGATTCCTTGTAACGAGCTGGGGGACACTGGCCTGATGCTGGACCTCTGGGCCCTCACCAATCTCTGGAGCCCTGTCTGAAGTCACTCATGTGCTTCTCTCTTTTTCTCTTCTCCCCTTCAGGTGTTTACAAAATATGGGAAGTGTTACATGTTTAACTCAGGCGAGGATGGCAAACCTCTGCTCACCACGGTGAAGGGGGGGACAGGCAACGGGCTGGAGATCATGCTGGACATTCAGCAAGATGAGTACCTGCCCATCTGGGGAGAGACAGGTGAGCTGGGCACAGGGGCTGGGCAGTGGAGGATGGCGGAGGGGTGCGGTACTCTGAAAGACAGCTTTGGCTCAGGTGGGATGTCTTGGCCCGCCCTGTGAAGGCCTGATCTCATCAAGGCATTGGTGCCTGCCAATGAGTGCTAAGAATGTCCCTGGCGTGGGCTGTGATGCTCTGGATTTCCTTGGATTTCTTGGTGGGAAAGGGACAGATGATGGGAAAATCGGGAAGGACAGGAAGGTAGGGAACTGGAGGGGAGGTGTTGGGAAGGAGTCATGGAGGAAGGTTTGAATTAACATGTATAGTTGGGCAGGGGAGTGGCTTGGTTTCAGAAGAGGAAGGGATAGGCCAGCTCCTTTCTGTCCCAGACATCTTAAATGTCCCAACCCAGCTAGGAGGCCCAGTGAGAGGAAAGCAGATTCTTCCCGTGGGGGGCCAGTGACAGATCAGTGAAGGGTTGGAAAAACAAAGGCCATATACTGGGGTGGGGGAGGCTGGCGCCCTACCTGCATGAGCCCCTGCGTAGCCTGTGTGCACAGGCCCCAAAGCTTAGCTCATGCATTCATTTATTCAACAAATTATTCATTAGCCACTGTCTCAGGCTATGCAGCAAAGTAAGAACAATAAAGTGATAAAGTCTGAGTCCTTGATCATAGCCTAGAGGAGGAGACATTGATCACAGAGCAGTGTAACATGTGTCTAGTGCTGTGGCCGGACAGGGGCGGAAGATTGAAGAAAAGCATTGTAGTTCATGGGGTATCTGAGCAGGGTCTTGAGATGATCCTGGAAAATATACATGGGACTACATAGGGTACAGGAAGACAAGACAGAGGAGAAGGTGATGTGATGAAAGAAGCAGAGATTGATATAAACCTCGGAATGTCAACAGCCTCTAGAATTTCACCAGGTGGAGAAAGTAAAGAGATGCCCAAGAGGGGGACCATCAATGCAAAGGGGACCCCAAGTAAGACTGATGCTGTCTTCAGATGAGCCAAGGGTGGTGCCAGAAGGGAAAGGGCAGAGGAAGAGAAGATTCCAGGAGGAGGGAGAGCCCAGGCCCTAGGGTTGGCACCGAAGAGGGGGTGGAGGCCAAGCAGCCCAGTCCCATGTCTTGCAGCCCCTACCTCATGACTCCTGTCGCCAATCCCTCCCATTCTGAGGTCTACCCCTCACACGCCTTGACCTTCCTGGCTCCTGAGGCAGCCATGGCTTCCTTACCAGGGACGACTGACTGCAGCCTCCCAGCACTGTCCTTCCTGTCTGGCAACACTCGCTTGAGCGCCCTGATGGGGAGAGGTGAGCATGGCCATTTACCTTGCATTATGGTTAGTCCTCCTGCTCCTTCAACTGAAAAATAAAATGGCCATCACACGTGTCATTGCAATAATGCCTCTGGCAGCTCACCTCAGGCTCCGGGGCCCTCAAGCTCCATTAGCCGCTCGCTGAGGAGACGCTTAGTTGATTCCATTCACTTTCCTAAATTCAAGGCCCCTCCTTTCTAACCCTAGATGCAAACAAATGAAAGCTTGCGTTAGTTCCCAATTCTGACATTCCTAAGAGTGGCCCAAGGGCCTGTTTTTCCAGAACATTCCTGATGCCAGCCTGTGTCCTGGGACCATGACACCTGTAGGCAACCTTTGGTCTTAGGAGCTGTGTCTTGGTCCCCAAAGAAAGACCCTGCCTTGTGGACACCAGAACATACTTGCTTATCAAATCACTGTGGACAAGAAGAAAAATCAGGCAATGAATGCATCTTGGAGACCCCAGACCCCAGGCCTGACCAGAAGTTAATTATGCCCTTCCATAGAAATGTTGGGTTTCCCAGTTTGTTATCTTGATTCAGGAGTGCAAACATATGTATATACACAGAGAGATTCACATTCACGTTACCAGGCACCCCCGTCATAGACCTCTTTACACAGCAGAGCTCTGGCCTTGGGTCAGAGCACTGGCCATTGATGGAAGGGGCTCCAGCCCCCGGCCCTAGCTCGGGGGATCTTCACTCTGCCTCTTCTGAGGTCATTTATTCCAGCAAATCAACTCCATTCCCCTGAGAGGGGAGAAATGACAGTCTAGCAGGAATCAGAGAGACACTAAAGTCTCAGTGAATTAATGGCCAAGCCAGGACTCTGCTGCCCTGAGCCTCTGGGCCCCCATTCGGCCCTAGTGGACCTTGAGCAGTACCAATTCAGGGCAAATCTGTGATCATGATTAAGGGTCTGCTGTGTGCCCAACATCACAGGGCATTGTCAGAGATGCTGAAGACCCGAGACAAGGACCTGCCTTTTGGTAGCTTATCATCTTATCAGGAGGCCAGACTCCACAGAACCCACAGGAGAGCTCTAGTCTCACTCCACCTAGGAGCCTGAGCTACCTCTCAGTCGCAGACCAGCACTTTCCATTTAGACCATTTCCCCTAAGGTTGTATAGATGGAGACACAGGCTGAGAGAAGAAGGTGGGCTTTCAAACACAGCGAGGGCCAGAACAAACTGGTTAAAGAAACTAATGGGTGCTCGGCAATAGAACTTTCTGCAGTGATGGAGATGCTGTCTACCTGAGTGGTCCAGTACAGCTAGCCACCTGTGGCTAACAGGCATTGAAATGACCAGTAGAAATGAGGAACTGAATTGTTATATCTTTTCATTTTCATTCATTTAAATTGCACCAGAAGCTGGTGGCTGCCATATTGGAGAGCACAACTTTAAGTTGCTCTGGTTGGCTTCTGGGTCTTTGCCTCTGCTGCCACCTCCCACTGTCCCTTGGTGCTATGATAGTCTTCATTCCAGACCTTCCCCTCACCACAACCTGGAGTGGTGAGAATTCCTTATCCCATTTGCCAAGGAAAGAGGATAACATTAGGTGACTTCCCCCAGGACACTTAGCCAGGACTCCTGAGCCCTTATACCTGGGGTTTCTCCACATTACCTTTCTTTAGGCCACAAAGGCACTGAGCAGTAAGCAGCATCTGGGAGACTCTGGGTAACTCAAAGCCACCTGTTTCTTGGGCAGTGAGCCCTTTGTAGGTAGGAGTGAGGTTTACACACCTGCCAAAGGATGAGCTGTGGGCTCTGGAGGGTGAAAGCCACTTGTGGGGAGGTCACCTGAGGAGACACAGCCATGTCCCACTGCCTAGGCACTGCTCCCAAGGTCCATGGGCACATCAGGCCTAGGCCCATGTGGTCCTCAGGAGGATATTCCAGACTTGTCTAGCTTTGTGGCCCCACAGATGCCATCTTGTTTCCTTGGCATTCTTGCCTCCTCTCAACCCCCCGAGAAAGGAGTCCAAGTCCTTACAGAAGATATTTGGGAGATGGTGAAGAAAAAGGAATTCAAATATGACTGCTGGGGGGCGGGGAGCTTGATGACAGACTGCACATTGAGTCCCCAGCTCTTCCTTTACTAATGGTGTGACTGAGGACCTGTGAATGTGCCTCAATTTCTTTATCTGTAAAATAGAGGCCAATAAAGCAAACAAAACCTGTCCAATTTACGGAATGACTGAAGGGATAGAATGTATGTTCTGTGTAAACTGTGCACAGTTGAAGGATGATAATATTGACCAGTAGACCGGGGAGCATAGTCAAGCTTTCCCAGAGGCAGAAAATATTCCAAACATCCCATCCCTATGAAGGGTGTCCTAAGGCGCCCAACATCAGAGGGTTCTGTTCTGCTCGAAGAAGGCACTGGGACATTCTTGCCTGTACAGTTATGGACAGCTTCATCTCTCAGGATGCAGTAAGGGAACCCTCATTTGGGTGTAATTCTAACTGACAAGAGTTTTTGGCACCAACAAATGAATTTGGAAAAACCCAGACCTACAGGCTTAGTGAGTAAAGGGTGACGACAAAATTTACCAGAAACATCCTTTCCTCAGGGCTGACTAGACCTCACACCAGGGTGCCCCATGGTCAAACATCTGTGTGTGGAACATCCTGGAAATATGCCATTTTTTAGAAGGCAGGCTCAGTCACACGTAAACCTAGAGAGTGTGTCCAAAAATGGGTGCTATAAAATATCAGGAGAGGGCCTCCCCAATGGCGCAGCGGTTGAGCGCTGGGTTGCGAAGCTGCCCGCAGCCTCTGCAGTGCCGGTTCGATCCCCAGCTGCTCCCCGGCCACCGGAGGAGGGTCCCACATGGAGCGCAGACCTCTCCTGCCGCCCGCTGCTCCCCTCAGCAGTGTACTTCGGTCCTTCTGCCTGCTCTGCTCCCCGCTCTGGCTCTGGTGAATTCTCTCACCCTCCCGCACTTCTGACTGTACCCAGTGCTTGTATAAATAAATAAATAAATCTTTAAAAAAAATAAAATATCAGGAGTTTGGGATATTACATGTTCTAAGAATAAAAAGGACCTTGGGGATGCCTGGGTGGACAAAGTCTGGTACATTTATTCATGGCAGAGATTCTTTATATGCTATATCATGAATCTCCATGAGAGGAATGTGGCATGCAGCCTTTATTTCCAAAGTGCTTTTGACCATGGAAACCTTCTTTTTTCATAGAGGAGCTCACAAAACAGAAAAAAGGGACAGGAAAGCTGTCCTAGGCTATAGAAGTGCAGATCTCATGGCCAGCATTTTCTAAAGGAAATTAAATTGAAGGCCGGTAGGAGGTTGTTAAAAATGAAACTGTGTAGATGTCTCTGAGTAACTTCAAAGATAAAAGAAATAGGCAGTGGGTTATTTAGGTTGCTTGTGAGCAAACTGGATTCAAACAAGCTGAGGCATAAAAGGAATTGTGTTGCCCTTGGAATCCGAGGCAAGATCCAACAACCAAACAGCAGGACTGCGAGGATGCAGTGTCAGAAACAGCAGAGCCCAGGACCCCGCCCCTCACGTCTTGGGCCCTTCTCTGCCTCTCCTCTCTTGGAGTCACTTTCATTCTCTCTCACTGGAGACAGGCTGTTTCCACACATAGGTGTTTTCACACATGGTTCCCAGTAGTTTTCTATTTTACACATCCTATCACCAGCAAGATACCATTTTGAGTCTCTCACTGATGT